GACAAATCCAGGCCCAAGCGCGCCACCCAGTACCATAAGTGCCACGCCTGCCATGCAAAACGAACGTGGATGTCAGATTGTGCCACAGCTGCCACGTGAAACGACGGTGGATGTCACCAAGTGCCACGTGAAACGAAGGTGGATGTCACCAAGTGCCAGCCGCGGCGTCACAGGCGACAAATCCGGGCCCAAGCGCGCCACCCAGTACCATAAGTGCCACGCCTGCCACGCAGAAGATGTTAAGTTTGTGTGTGTGTGTGAAGTTATTGTATGTGAGAGATGGTATGTGACAAAGTTGTGTGTGTGTGTGTGAGTGTGTGTGAAGTTATTGTATGTGAAATTATTGTATGTTAAGTCATGGTATGTGACAGTGTGCAAGGGAGTTATTGGATGTGAGAGATGGTATGTGACAAAGTTGTGTGTGTGAGTGTGTGTGTGTGAAGCTATTGTATGTTAAGTTTGTGTGTGTGAAAGTATTGTATGTGAAATTATTGTATGTTAAGTTTCTGCGCGTGAAGTTATTGTATGTGAGAGATGGTATGTGACAAAGTTGTGTGTGTGAGTGTGTGTGAAGTTATTGTATGTTAAGTCATGGTATGTGACAGTGTGCAAGGGAGGCGGCGGGAGGAGGAGAAGGAGAAGGAGCCCGGGATACAGAATCAAAAACAAGAACCCCACACAAAGTTGTGGGGAATAATTCTGGCAGTCGAAAAAGAGAAATGAAAATAAATGAGCGTTGGTCGCGATTTCAGATGATTTGACGTTTATGTGCTACTTGCGTGTTTTTGGATTTATTTACTTAAAGAATAAAAAAAAAATAGGCTAGGGGAATGCCTACATGAGCCAGACCATTCGAAGACGCGCCCGGGCCTCCAGGCTGCGAGCTCACCCGTAATGTACTCGCCGTTCAAGATGACATAACATTCCGTCTCCTTCAAAGATAGCATGCCGCAGCAAGATTATGTATATCTTGGGTGTTTTGCGCGGCCTGGAAACCGATAAAGAAGATATATGTCATGATATCCCACCTTAACTTCCAGAATCCTTAAAGTTACCCGCTGGAATTACTGCCACTTTTTGGTCACCACCGCAATCAGCAATATTGATAGAAGAAAACATGAAATCGAGATGCGTTACAACTTTGGCCCCATGCTACTCTTTGTTCCGACCAAGACCAAGTAAATGCTTTCTTGTTAGTGTTGATATAAAGCGTCATTCATCCAACTGGGTTATATAATTAAAGGCAGAATCACAAACCCAATACCCTACCAATGAAAATGACACGAACATGCCCGGATCACCCCTCTCCCCATCCTTCAAGTTGCCCCAGATGTCTGGAAGGGCGAACAAAGTCCACCCGCCTCCCGGCAGCGGCATATGCAGGTCGGCCAGAAATTGGTTCCGAACGCCGTTAAATAATCCACCGCCGCAAATGATGGCCCGCTTTGCTCCCGCTTGGACGCACCAAGGCTTTTTCTCCTGGGGACGTTGGGTTGAAAGCCAGAAAACCTACCTTTATAACATCCGAAGTCTCTAGGATGAAGGTTTTTCAAAATAATACGTCTTAAGATTTTGATACGTTTCAGATATGATTTGTTGTTATGAATTGTTTCTGGCGTGGTTCTGCTGTTATGATGTTGATACGGTTTTAGATATGATGTTGATATGGTTTCAGTTATGATTCTTGGTGTGGGTCAAACTTGTGATTTGAAGCCAACCCATCGGAACCATATCCAAAATATCCCAAAACCCTATCCAAACCATATCATAACCGTATCAATACCGTATCAAAACCGTATCAAAATCATATCAAAACCACAAAAACCGTCGAAAAATCGACCAAAAACATGTCCCTGGGCTGTTTCTGTTTCGTTTTTTGAAGCCAACTCACTGGAACCATATCAAAATCGTATCAAAATCATATCAAAACCGTATCAAAATCGAAACCTGTCCCTGGGCTGTTTCTGTTCCTTTTTGTTTGACAAATCATATCAAAATCGTATCGAAAGCGTATCAAAACCGTATCAAAACCATATCTAAACCATAACCCAAACCATATCCAAGACATAACAAAACCATATCGAAATCATATGCCCAAATTCAATGCGTATCAAATTCATATCTTCCAAGCGTATCAAAAACCATATTAACACCGTAAAAAAAAAATGATTTCCTGAATCTGGCATCCTCGAGGGATTCCGGGGTTATAAACCTACCTACCTGCAGTGTATCTTGGGTATATATATATATATATTTATATATACAGTATATGCTCCCTTACTTGAAAGGTTTCCATGGCCCCAAACCCTGAATGACTGTCCTCCAGCACCTCGGTCAGCTCTTCCAAGGGCGTCTCGGGCTCATCGTTGCCGGCGACAACGAGGCGGATGTTTTTTTTCGCGCCGTGCACGGGATGGGGTGCCCGGAAACCGGCCGAGCTCCCACGGGAAACTTCACCCCCCTTTTCAATCGGATTTTCCATTAACCATCTAGCTATTGGAGATCCCCTTATGGAAACCCCCATATCTTAATATAGTGCTTGTCTAAAAAAAAATATCAACCATTGAAAGTGATCAGAGCCAGCAATCAGCTGGGTTCACTGGTATCCATGGCATCGACAATCTTGTCGCATCCAGTCACATATATGTATGTATATATAGATATATATATATATACCCTTTGGTTATTTAACGTAGCGAACTGGAAGCCATGGCCCATGAAAATAGATGATAAACATGATGAGTTACCTTAAAAAAATGGTGATTTCCCAAGTCGCTACGTTAAATAACCAGAGGGTATATAATTACAAACACATAAATGAAATACGGAAATCATGAACAAATGAATATAGACAATATAGATTATAAATGAACAAATTCATACAGTCCATGCTACACTCCACAAAAATCAACACCCCCCGGCTTTTTTCCCTGCCTCCGGCAGAACGAGGATCTCACCTCTGCCGCGCGGCCGCGGTTTTTTCGACGCCGCCGACGGCGTCGGTGGCGTCGACAGCTTCCGCTCCACTGCGCCGCGCAGAGCACGTTGGAGCTCTTGCGCCTTGGAGCTTAGGAAAATGACCAATGTACACTTTATGTGTTTTATGGACAATTTCTATTTATATATATTTATATATTTATATTTAATATATTTAATACATTTATGTATATATAGATATACAACACACCTGTATACCACAAATGTATATATATATACATGCTGTGTATATAATGTATTACATACACAAGTGATCTCTGTAAGAGATGAAACGCTGATCACTTGGACAATAAACCAGAAAGTCTGAGTTTCCCCATCAAGTTCAACAAAATGTCTCAACATCTTCAATGTGCCGAAACAAAGAATTAGCGACTGACTTTTCCGACAACTGAGCCAAGATTCCCATCCTGGTTTATATGTTAAACCCCATGTTTTTCCATGTTTTTCCATGGTTTTCCCAACATCCAAAATCATCCAACTGCTTCAACCCTCCCAACATCATCCAACATCCAAATCATCTCGGCACTTGTGACATGATGATCTCCAGCATGAGATCCACCCGGAGGTACTCGTTCTCCAAGGCTTTCAGCTGTTCCCAAACCTCCGTGAGGTACTCGTCGGCTCCACCGGCACCTTTGGGAAATCCACGGGACATCCAGCCCGGTAGCCATTTTTCATGGGATTTATATAATGGTGGTTTTCATGGGGATTTGATGGGGATTTTAATGGGATTTAACAGTTGGCTATTGAAAATGGCCCAGTCGAAATAGTTGATTTACCCAGCTATAAAATGGTGATTTTCCATAGCTTTTTGTATGTTTACCAGAGGGTAAATTGGCGAAATCTAGAGGTGAAATGGCGAATGTCGCGGTTCTCGTGGCTATACCTTTCGTGAGTTGGAGAAACTCATCCACTTACCACGACTCGCTGATTCTGGCAACATCTAAGTGGTCCCAACATTCCAGATACCCTCTGGTTATTTAACATAGCCATGGAAAATGGCTCATTTATAGATGGTTTACCTTTAAAAAATGGTGATTTTCCATGGCTATGTTAAATAACCAGATGGTAACTCTTTTACATCCAAAAAAAATTGTTAATGTTTGTATCCACGACAATTAAACCATGATGTTGACAATGAACTGTGAATCATATCTAATCCCGCTCATAGTCATAATAGGACAGTAAGAACAGTTCTCTTGCCAAGCTAAAACGCAATGCTCGCTTCGTCAGCACAATTTCATCTCTTTTGCTTGAGGTCGTTAAAAGCTCATTGGTTTTTACGCTATCTGTTCTTGGGCAAAGTTTGGGGTCAACTGTATCTAATCCTCCCCTCAGCCATCGTTATGTACAATACATCTTGTATGAATATATGACCAACCATTGCCCTCCAGTAAATTAACATAGACCCTGCCAGATAGGATTTGGAAGATGAGTTTCCACTAAAAATGGATGATTTTCAGGGTCAACAAGTTAACTTACCAGAGGGTAAGATTAACCAGAACCACTACAAGGTGGTGCCCCAGACTTAGCTAAGTTGGTTTGTAACTCCAATAACTATGGTTTATGGTAAATATATCGAACTACTTAGTATGGTTTATAAACCAACATTCACATCATTGGGGGGGGCACCACCTTGTAAGTATCAAAATCATTACATGGCTTTCCTCCAATAATAATCAAACATGGCTGGAATATCCATCATTTAATGCCATGAATCTTTCCCAGCGAGCCATGTTTGATTAAAATAATCAATAAGTACAATATCAGTCACTTGGTTAACTATATAAAACATATATCAGCATATATAAACTATGATGTCATGTCACTATACCTAAACTATATTAACGATAATGTAAAATGTAATATAAACTGTAATATAAACTGTAGCATAAACTATAGTAGAGTATATAGACTATTAATTATGTTGACATCATATTATATTCATATCGTAACTACATTATTAGAAACTATCAGTATCGTTATATCTATCACTATGATGGTTCAGTATATAATATTGACATCTATCAACATATATTATTAACATATATACATATATAACTATATTGACTATATTTCTCCAATTGATATAGTTATGGTTCATGCTGCTATTCTATTAACTACAGATGGAACATCCAATACACCCACCAATAAAAGTGAACTATAATGACATCATAATAACATCGTATTTACTATAACTTAGTGTCATATTAACAGTCCCCAAATAAATTCACTATGTTCACTATATTCCCCCAATTAATATATAGATATGGATGTGCAAATATATAGTCATCCCCAGTCTTAATATATTTCATCCCAAAAAAATTAACACCATCATATTCACTATAATTAATCTACAAGTCTATAACTGTTTTACATTCATTATACTTTATCGACAATTAATCTTGATACACGATACATATCATATATACCATAAATTCATGTTGATTATGATACCATCTTGATCTACTATGATCTACTATGATTATATACATGTTCATATATTATCCAATAGGTACATACAATCATAGTAGATCACAATATCAATATATACCCAATATATATATATATACCCAATATTTTGGTACAACCATTTATTATCTTACTGGTGCTTAGTATGGATGGGTTGCTGGGGGTTGCTGGGATGATTATTACTAGTTACTGTGGATCATTCCCTCATTCCCTGCTAAGCACCAGGAAGTAATTTATGATTGGTACATATATACCCAATATATACCCAATATTTTGATATAACCATATATAATTTATTATTGGTACCCTCTAGTAATTTAACATAGCTATTGAACACGGCCATTAATACTGGATTTACCCATTGAAAATGGTGGATCTTTCCATAGTTATGTTAGTTTACCAGTGGGTATGGGGTGCAAAAAAAAAAGTATTTATCACCATATCCCTATAGTCTCTATGTCATATCCCTTTTCAATGTAATATCTTTTTAATGGCCATGTTCAATAGCTATGTTAGTTTACCAGAGGGTACATCACCATTCTCATTTCCGCCTTCGTCTCTCAGCTGCGCCATGGCCGCCTTCAGCCGCTGCTGCGCCTCCTCCGTCAGCGTGGCTTTCAGGCGCCGCCGCAGCGCGCGGCCGCGCTCCTCGTGGCCCTGGCGGTGGAAGACGTGGAAAATGCCGGGAAGACGCTGAAAAACGGTGGTTTATTAGGAAAAATCATAGAATTGGATGATGGGAAAATTTACAGGAAACCCCTATATTTGATGGTAAAAACCATGGTTTCCTGTAGATTTTCCCTTAAACCAATCCATTGAAAAAATGGTGAAAGACGTGGAAAAAAAAATGGTGAAAATCGGCGAAAAACATGAGGAATTTGACGGAAAACAAGTGTGGAAAATCATGACGTTTTGGAAAAATGTGTGAAAGGTGTGGAAAGTTTGGGGAAAATTGGGAAAATGGTGAGGAGTTGCCATTTTTGAAAAACAAAACAAGAAAAAATAGCAGTTTTGACTAGAAAACATGCTGCAAAAATAATGACATGATGCCTTTTTAGGGAAAAGTTGCGAAACTCACCATTTGTCACCCTGCAAAAATGAGACAATGAACATCTTTAAAGCGAAAGAAAGGAGACACGGTTACATTCCAAGTTTGCGGGGCATTCAGCTGAAGTGGCAGATTCAAGGAACAAACTACCAATGAAACGGGACACCAAATTCATGGGGATCTGAGATTTGATGGCAAGAGCTGAAGATTTGACCTTTGAGGTCGTGAATGAAATGGGGAGGTACTACCAATCGAAATTGACACATACCTGATATGAATCTATAGTTTATCATGATTTTCCGAAACGGCAAGCTGGTTGGTATACCCTCATTTTCAAACAAAGAGCTGCTAATATTCAACTAGATCCCCATCATATGCCCATTATAGCCCCATTATACCCGAAATTATGTTTGGTTGTATCACCATGTTCCCAGAAATCATCCCAATGCATCCTCCATATCTCCGACATATCTCCATCAAAACTTAGAACTTAGAACTGTTGTAACCATCAATGGATTGGTTTGTTGGGGAACATCTTAACCGGAAACCATGGTTTTTACCATCAAATATAGGGCTTTCCGGTTAAAATTTTCCCATCATCCAATTCTATGTAACCATGGGCAGCTGGCCTGACGCTCAGAGTTTTCTCCAGGCAACATCTTGGGCAGAGCCTTCCACACCTCAGTTGAACGGAAGGAGTTTCCAAAGAAGTTTGGACCAAAAAACGGCAACATTCAGGAAAAAACGGCAACATTTTGGATAACATTCAGGTACAACCAAAAAATATCGGAATTGGTTGTACCTGATGTCTTAATATTTCTTATAGCTGATATACTGTGGTATACTGTTCTACCTGACTGATTATCCTTGAATTGGTTTTTGCTCGCCCCGAGATGTTGCCGGAATGGCATCACCGAGATGAAACCCTGCATGGCCTCCTCGAACTCGTTGCCGGCAGCCACACAATCCACCGGGATTTCTGGGATTCCACCTGAAATCGGAGGGAGCCCTTTTTGTTGGTCCATATTATGTGTGTTTTTTTGGTTTTTATGTGCAATGTTTGTTTGCATTCATTTATATATCTATAATTATCTATATATCACAGGGTGCACAACCCCCCCCCCCCGGCAAAACCCCCCCGGAAGCGCAATAGATGCTTAATAAGGAAGTTTGCTTTTTTCGGCCTAAAAAACTGGTTTTCCTTGATAAGACCTTATTTGGTGTGAAGGCAATTATATAATAAATATATATATATATACATATATATATATATATACATATATATATATATACATATCTGTGTTGTGTGCACATGTATATGAAACATGTCTATTTACATCTGTATGTTGTATATGTGCATCTATGTATATACATCAATACATCTGTATAGATTTATGCATGGCAACTCGTCCAGAATCCAAGTTCCCCGTGCCTCGAGCAGGCGGGGATGCTTCAAAGCTCTCGACTTCCAACAAACAAATGACCTGCTATCGGTGATGCCCAAAAACGTTAGCTAAGTTGGTGTCCGCAACTCCAACAACTATTGGCTATAAACTATGGTTTACTATGGTTACAACCAATATAAACCATAGTTAGTTTTGGTTAACTAGTTTATGGTAGATATATCGAACTACTTACTATGGTTTATCAACCAACAAACAACACTGAGGGGGCACCACCTTGTGGCATTGGAACGCAGCAGGGTTTTCCTTTACCCTCCGGCTCGGTGGAAAAAATTCATTGCCATGTTTCATGACACCGGAGGGTGTCATACCATGACTTTTTTGCGGAGACACCCGACATGGATGTCTCAAAGATGAAACGTGGCAACTCCAGCTGAGGTGTGTCTTCGAAATTTGGTGGTGATAAAAAGACTCCGTCTGCACGATTTTTTAGCCATAAATCACAACTATGGCTGGGTAAAACGCCACCCCGGGCCAAGTACTCACTTTCGCAGCGTGGGTACGTGAGAAGCCAAATCCCCCTACTTTTCTTGCACACTTGGATTTGAATTCCAAATTGTTTGTAGGTGTGGCTATAACTATAAACTGACATAAACCCAAAAATAGGTACTTAGTGGTCACAAGGATTGTGAGCCACCCATGAACTGCGACACACATCCAAGTAACTGGCAGCTAGTCCCTTAAAGATTGGCGTTCTGAGAGAAGCACTGTACAACTTGATTGCTGACTTTCTCCCGTATGGTTGCTGATTTTCATCTAACATGTACTTGGGAGCTTGCTTAAATCCAGGTATTGGGGAATAAAATCCAATCGTGTTGTGATATCCTTTGCGCTGGTGGCTTAAATCCCTTTACTTTCACCATTTTTTTGCACATATACTCCACATCTTTCTCCATTTTTCCTAGTCAAAGCATGTGAAAATTGGATGACCATAATCGGTGTTAGATTCACCATTTTCAGACGCACCCAAAGTCATATTGTGGTTGGTTATTATATAGATATATCATATATCCCATAAAAAAATCCATAAAATATCCCCATGATACACGACTTCTGTAAATCCCATGAATCATCACCCATATTATCGTTGGTTAGTTATATCCCATAAAATATCCCCATCAACCCCTGTGAAATTGCCGGTAAAAGCGCGGAGGAATCGGATGGTTTCCCCGTCAAAAATGTCGGTGTCAATATATTTCATGGGAAATTTCATCTATAAATGGCAATTTTTCCAATAAAAAACATATCAAAATCATCCTATAAATGGTATATGTTCCACTATTTTTTTTCCATAAATGGAAAAAAGCGGATGGCTTCCACCCCCCCACGGGCCTGTTCGCTAACCTTGGGCAAGAGCCGCGCCAGCGCCGACTCCACCCGCCGCTGGTCGCGACGGAAGTCGCGCAGGAGACAGCCGAAGCTGTCCTCGGTGTGGAGCTGAGATATTGGGGTGATTAATGGTGGATACTAATGGATTTAACTGATTTAACTAACAATGGGAGTATCTGGCTGAGAAAAAATGGGATATAAATTCTATTTTCCATGGCTATGTTAAATAACCAGAGGGTACAGTATATGAATTGGTGTATTCATGAGATATGAATGGGGATAGTAACAGGTATGCTCATGGGTATGTGAAAATTGGATATGAATGGGGATACAGTATGAATGGGGATATGATACATAACAAACTATATAAAGGGGATATGAATGGGGATATGATGCATAGCCAATGATCAAAAATGGATTTTACCATCAATTTTTATGGTGGATTTTACCGTGAGAAATTGCTGAAATCTGTAGCTTTCCCGTTCGCAAAGTGATCTATGAATGCTGGGTTTCCATATCTATGTTGGTTCGGTTTGTCCAAGACTATTTTGGGTGGACAAAGCATGATGACGGGACACAAAACGCACATTCGTGGATATATAATCAGTGTCTTCAGGTACAAACACAGATTTTTGGCCCTGTTTTTTATGCGTAGTTTCATCCCCACAACTGACTGGTGACGTGACATCTGACGACAGTGTGGTGAAAGCCCCGCGTTTTGTTGGTGAAATCTCTAAATTTTGTTTTGATTAAAACCTCTATTATATGCAGGAGTGGTTGGTTATATTCCCAGTATGGTTTGCTGGCTTATACTCCCCACAACTTTGTTGGTTGAATCACCCGATAAAATTGATACATCCTGGTGGTGGTTATCGGTACTGAGTGCGTTCTGATGGTAACTTGGAGTCACTTGGAAGTCCCCCATCCAATTCATAAACGATATTTAGATCCATCCTTGAAATGTGATTGTTATATCAGCATTTTCCCACAAATAATCCTCATAAATCGTCATTAATCTATATATATATATCCCCATGATATCATCATTGTACCACCACAAAATCGGTAACAACCCATCATTGGTTGGTAAATCCCTCATAAAATGATTGGTTTAATCCCACATGTTGGTTGGTTGAATTCTCATGTACAGATTATATCCCAGTGTCGATGGTTCAATCCCGTTTTTCCCATTATATCCATTATGTATGAATTCCTAATTGTATATCCAAAATATATATATATATCCATTAATCCATTAAGTTCTCATCAAATCCACTAAACTTTTGTTGCTAGTTCATCAATTCACCATTAATCACCCCAGCATCCCATTTCATTATATGGTTAAACTCTGCATTACATCTAATGGTTGATGGTTAAAACATGTTAAAACCATAAATTGGTTGGTCTAATCTCTTTTTGCCTGGTTAAATCCCATCATTAGCTGGTTTTTGTCCCCATGATATCCATTACGTATTGACTTCCTAGTTCTATATCCACTTGTCCATTCATGAAGAAAGCCCATCAAATCCCCAATTTCACTTAGATCTGCACAACATTCTTGATGGTTAAATCAATTTAAATCAGATGTGTTCCACTATATCCATTAAATCCCGACCTAAATCCGCATCTTCCGTTGCTCGTTCCCGTGAATTTTTTGCATGGCTAAAGCCTCCATGGTCAATTTCCGGACCAAAAGCCTATGACAGGTCGCTCGTTCCAAGCGCATCTTTGTGATATTAATCACCATAAATCACCCACTACATGATGGTTAATGCTAGTTATTTTAACAAAAAACTACAAGTTCAAAATCAAATCCCCATAATTATTCTGATTCAGGGTTGATGGTTGATGTTGGTGATGTTCCCAAATTCCTATCAAATCCCCATGATATCCCATTGCATTCCCATTGTTTTCCCATATGTCCAAGACATCTTCCCATTGTCTCCCATTATGTTTTCCATATATGAACTATGAACATCAACAATTCTTGTTGAATCACCATAGAAAAATTCTGAGAAATGATGGAAATCCTTCCATTTTTTGAGTTCAAATTCCCATGGGTTTTCCATGAAATTCCCATTGATTCATTGATTCCATCAAATCGCCATGAAATCACCATAAATCATCCATTGAATCACCCATATTCCCATTCAATGGGTGATTTATGGGTGATTTCATAGTGATTCAGGATGGTGCCCCCCAAGTATAAGTTGGTTTATAAACCCCATTAACTATAGTTATATCTACCATAAACCATAGAATTCAGCCACAGCCATATCTCAACTTAGCTATCTTGGGGGCCCCATCCTGTTTATGGGTGATTCCAAGCATCTTCCTCCAGTTTCAGCTCCGCCCTCAGCTGTCGGCACAGCTTCCGCCCCACGCCCAGCCCCGCCAGCGCCGCATCCAGCGCAAGGTCGCCGGAGGTCGCCACGGCGGCGCTGGCGCCATCCTGGCGGAGCGGCAAAAAAAAACGCTTTTGGTGGAAGAAAACTCAGAAAAAAACTGGGAAAAATCGGGAAATGTCAGGAAAACGTTGGGAAAATCAAGAAAACCTTGGAAAATGATGCGGAAAAGTTGAAAAAGTTAGGAAAACAAGTTGATCTCACCAACAGAAGTTAAGCATCAATTTACAGGAAGCCATATGGTTTTACCCACGAATATATAGTTCCTGTGAATGTTTTCCCCGCGTCTGGGAGATGACTGGGAATGGTTAAGACCACCCATACACATGGTGATTTTGGGGATGGTTTATGACATTGTTTTAACCACATTATAGCTATACCCCATTTTGTGGTAAAGTTAGTAAGGGATCACAATGACTAGTCAGACTAAGAACCACAACTAATCGTGGAACCGCGGGGGATAAAGCAGGCATTGCTCAAGGGTGTCCCGGCCTCTGCTGGCGCAGATGCGGACGCATCGGGGAAGGAGCGCCATGCAATCTTTGAATTTTTGGGCATCTGCAGTGGCAGATGTTGCGTGGGGACTCAGACATATGGCACAGCTTGGAACGAGCCCTTTACAAGGTATAGTAACCCCGCCAAAAAAAAGACAGGAGGGGTCAAAATTACCACTATTTTACATTGAGATTTTACTCTTCATTTTTTGGGGACACAGGGAAACCACTGGGAGATGCTGTCGAAAAAAGGGGAGGACCTAGCACCAACGAACTGCCCGAAGGGCTTCGGCAAGGTTATGGTGTTCCTTCATCTTTGCACAACATCTGTTATAATTTTTCTATACTTTGATGGCATCAAATTCATATTTGGTCTTGTTTTTTCTTGGAAGCCATCATGAAACCTCCACTATGGAGCCAGAGCAGCTGAACTCAAACTTCATTGCTGAGACCAACACCTCCCATGCTGCCCATTCATCCCAGTTGCAAACATGTTTTTTTTCCCTGGCTGTCACATCAAACACTTTGCCTCTGCTTCTCTAGCCAATTCCCACAGAGAACAAGGGCACTGTTTTGATTCGAAATGTCCTTCGCGTAACCCTGAGTGAAGCTGGCAGAATCCCATCCTGCGTCAACAGTTCTTGGCAGTGGTTAACGGGTGGGGAAAGTTGGGTATGGGTCACCCTGGTACTGTACAGTAAATATCGGAATCCCCACACAAGTTGTGAAATGGTGTGTACGCATGCGAAAAGCCGGTAATATGGAACAGCTTGCGGAATAGTCACATGGTTGTCCTTCATCGGTCCACACATTGAGTGGCGTAAACACCGCAAACAATGGAAACCATCTCAACTTGAAGGTGCTGAACTTCCATACAAGTTCTGGCATTGATAAGATGTTGTCCATGGTAGAAACCCTGGCAATTGTCACTATCTGCAACGCTTTCCTCAAGTAATGCACCAAAACATTTGAGATCTTTCAGGGTCAATTCCAGGCACCTTTTTCCCAGCTAAGCCATGGATTTTGATCCAGTGGATCGACCCCCACCAGATTCTGGATTCAAATGGTGTTAGATGGTGTTATGTTGTTTGATGTTGTCATGTTCTTAAAAGGGATGGCCATACACCCACAAACTTGTCGAAACTCGAAAATTCTCGGCGTGATGTTCCCATTTGGAGCCAGTGGTGCCTGGTCCAAGGCGCAGCGTGCCAAATGGCAGCACTCAGCACTTCGTGTGGTGGACACAGTGGTTACACCTGTCTCAGCGGCTTCTTTCAACGGTTTTCAAACAAACAACTTCTGTTCTGCTCCCTTCAGACTGTCTTTTTCTTGTCGGATGTCTTTCACCACAAGAGGCCCAATCTTGAACCCTACAAAGACTGAAAACGAGTTTCCAAGCAAAGGCAAGCCGCAAATACCCGGGAAGACATCCCGCGCCAACAACCCCACCCAAAGATCACAACAGGAACAGAAAGTTGCAAGGTGACTTTGATAACGTTGGCGACTTCGACTGGATTGAATTCTGGTGCCTCGGTCTTTTCAGAACGTCTCTCCAGTTGCAGCGCGCCAGGTGCTACTGCAGTGGGTACACTGGACCTCGGTCACCCAATGCATGCGCTACTCCCAAAACGACTCGCAAAATCATGAAAAAACATTAGAATCCGCGAACACAACATGAAACTACTTTGGGAGGGATCGTTGAAACATGTTGAAAAGGGACTGAAGTGGGGAATCGGAATCTAGTCACTTGACTGTGTAGGTTCTTTTTTCGAGATCGGTCTCCTCACGGCCCTCCGGGCACACGGGCACACTCCTTTTTTCGCCTCATCCTAGCCCCAGGCAGAGCATCCCATCATTTTCACAGAAACAGATAGCGCGTAACCGCAGGATATCTCAGTTGCGGCACTTTACTTTTGAACAAACTGCAGGCAACTCGTTAAGACCGTTACCGAAAAGCACAAGCTCCTGCAACTGGTCGAGTTCTGACAGCATATTGGTCCATACTTCGGCATGCAACTCACTGAGATCATTGCCGTTCAGCCGAAGCTCTTGCAGGCTTCCGAGCCCTGAAAACATATTGGCCCAGACTTCAGGGGGTAACTCGCCGAGTTTGTTGTCACTCAGAAAGAGCACCTGCAAGTTGTCGAGCCCTGCAAACAGACTACCCCAGACTTCAGGAGGCAACTCGTTCAGCCTGCACCCATCGAGGGCAAGTTTTTGCAGGTTTCCCAGCGTGGAAAAGGCTTCAGCATGCAACTCACTGAGATCGTTTCCGCCCAAGGCAAGCACCTGCAAGTGGCTAAGCCCTGCAAATGATTTGGACCAGACTTTAGAAGGCAACTCGCCGAGCCTGTTGGACCTCAGGTCCAGCTTCCGCAAGTTGCTCAGACCTGCAAAGAGATGGGCCCACACTTCAGCAGGCAATTCACTGAAATCATTCTCGTTCAGCACAAGTATTCGCAGGTTGCCCAGCCCGGAAAAGACTCCAGCATGCAACTCACTGAGATCGTTTTCGCCCAAGTAAAGCTCCTGCAACTGGCTGAGCCCTGCAAATGATTTGGACCAGACTTCAGAAGGCAACTCGCCGAGCCTGTTGGACCCCAGGTCCAGCTTCCGCAAGTTGCTAAGACCTGCGAAGAGATGGGCCCACACTTCGGCAGGCAACTTACTGAGCTTGTTGTACCCCAGGCTGAGATCTTGCAACTTTCTGAGCCCTGAGAAGACTTCAGCAGGCAGCTCACTGAGCTCGTTTTCATACAAGTAAAGCTTCCGCAAGCTGCTGAGCCCTGCGAAGACTTCAGCAGGCAACTCACTGAGTCTGTTCCAACCCAGGTCCAGCTCCTGGAGTTTGCTGAGACCTGAAAAGATTTCGCCTGGCAATTCAGTCAGCTTGTTTGAGGCAAGGTCGAGGGCCTGCAGCAAAGGAGTCTTATCAAAGATGTGATTTGGCAGCGAGGTCAACTTGTTTTCGCTCAGATCGAGAACTTGTAGCCGCGGGCTGTGCTGCAAAAGCTCTTGCGGAAGTATTTTCAATTCATTTCCATCAACGATCCATTGGAACTGCTCATCAGATTTACCCCCCAGCAACAATTGCTGCAGGGCTGGCATGGGGCGCAGCAAGTCTCTTGGCAATGCGTTGAAACGATTTTGGCTGAGGGACAAGATTCTCAAACTTGACAACCCAGCAAATGTGTCAGACTCCAAGTGCTTCAAACCCAAGCGGCCCAAGTCCAGCAATTGCAAGCTGTCCAAAGGAGCGAACACCTTCTCAGGTAAAAATGACAACCGATTGCCAGAGAGCGATAACCGTTGCAAACTCCGTGAAGAAGTGAAGGCATCCTCTGCAACACTTGTGATGTCCTGCTCACTCAAGCTCACATCTTTGAGGCGAAGAATGCCTACAAGGCTGCAGCTCGCAAGGTGCTTTGCACCATGATCCTTTTGGTGACAGCGGCACGGAAAGCATCCGAAATCAGCCGTGTCAATCGGGTAGAAGTGCGTTGAAAGCAATAGAGCAATGATCGTTACAAGCAAACAGGGCGAATACCTAAGCAGTGGTTGCAAGGAGAAACAAAGAACTCGAGTTCATCCATCAAAGCCCGATGGAATGAAAGGGAGGGGGCCATTCCAGAAACCAAATTTCAAGGGGATTGACCTTGAAAATATATAGGTGTATTTTACAAGGTCAGCCACCAATGTTACTTACAATGGGGGTGAACCACAAAACCGCTAAGCACTCAGCTCTTTTGAACCAACGCTACAGAGTAGTACGATGATATGTACAATACATGGTTTTACTGCAGGAGTTTTTACACCCCCCTCGGGCGAGCAGGGACGACTGCGGAGAACGAATAACCCAGAAGAGCATACCCGCGCGGGTAGCCAAATCTGTTTATTTGGTTTTAAGCATTTTATGCAGTCTTTCAAAGGTCCCTCTAAAAAGCTCAAGCCCGTAAAACCCAGCGCAGCTTTGCAAGGAATGCACATTACCATGCCGCATCTTGCGCTATGCTACAAAAGAAAATCATCGTCTACCTGCGGTTCCAATAGGTCCAACGGCCGCCGGCCTCGTCACGGTAATACCAAGCCCCACGCCAGAAACTCCATTCTCGACGTGCACCATAGTGATCACGATTCCAACTCCAGGAGGCATCCGGGCGACCGGAGCTTGCAGCCTTCGATGTGACAGTGCTTGCTGCTTTTGCAGTGGGCGGCGTCTCAGGCTCCAAGAATGGTCGTGCTCCTGCTTTGGATGTTGGTGGTTCGGGTGCAAGGAATGGTGCATTGTTGGGATCAACTGAGGCATCAGCGTGCGAGGCGTCTGCGCGAGCAGAGCTTGAGGCGGCTGTGTCATCATGTGCGGTGGCGGATGCATCAACTTCGGCTTTGCGCTTTCGCTCAATGGTGGGCGCGACCGTGGTGTCGGCCTTTTGACCTCCAGGACCTCCAGCCTTTGCAGCGGCGCTCTGCTTCTCTTTGCGTTCAAGGTTGCCCCGAACCAATGGAAGGTTTTCCTCATACAGCTTTTCGAGGAATTCAAGAGTGCCATCAAAAGGAACTTGGACGGTGCCCTTCCAGGTCAGCAGGCCAGGGAATGCGCCACGACGGCCGATGTAGCTGACATATTCATCCTCTGTAAAAATGTGGCGGCCGAACATGAAACCCCAGGTTTTCTTCCATGTTTTTCGGAACTCAACTGGGAACCCTTCCACACCTCGAGGTTGGGACATGAAAATCAACTTTGATAAGCAGTTTTCATTTTGGGCATTGGCGGCGACGCCAGCCGAGATCTGAGCTCTGGTCCTGGGTGGATCCGGGAGGTTGGCGTATGCGAACATATCGTCAAAGATACAGTCCTGCAGGCCTTTTCCCTCCCCGTGGATGCGGTCACAGAACGTGACGTCACTGGTATAGCGATCTTCAACGTCCTCGTAGCCCAGTGCCTTTGCACGTCTGTGTCTGTCGCGGCAGTCTTTGAGGACTGCTGATTCCACTGATGTGATCCCCCTGGGGCCCAGTTCCCGGCGAAGAAGATCGGCTTGCTCATTTGTCAAAGCCGTCAAC